TGTGTGACTTTTGAGGCTGTTATGTGATGTTTTAGTATGATTAACGTTTCCTAACAGAATTCAAACTCTTTTTGTGACTGTTGTCTGTTACATGCTACATTTTCCCTTTTGTTGTGATATTTGCTACTTAAATGTGACATATTACCTGTTCGTGTGACTTGTTAGTATTAACAGTGATACCTGTAAGAACTTTACTTTTAGATTCCATTTAATATGCTAAAGAAAAAAGATCACCAAGAAATTACAAATGCACATTTTATCATTTACAAACAGCTAGTAAACATCCAACATCCAACAAATGAAATACTTATGTGTTTGTCTAATACTTCCACTCAATCAATGGTACATACCAAAATGTCACATACAAGAAGTAAAAGTCACACAACATACTAAAATGTCACATAACAGCCTCAAAAGTCACACAGAACACCAAAATGTCACATACAAGGAGCAAAAGTCACACAGCATACTAAAACATCACATAGCAGCCTCAAAAGTCACACAGAACACCAAAATGTCACATACAAGGAGCAAAAGTCACACAACATACTAAAACATCACATAACAGCCTTAAAAGTCACACGGAACACCAAAATGTCACATACAAGAAGCAAAAGTCACACACCATACTAAAACGTCACATAAAAGCCCCAAACATTACACATCATACTAATGGTCACATATCTTCACATATAGCTCACACAACAATCCAACAAATGTCACACACAACTAGTAAACTAGTTATCCTTTACATCATAGCGTTTAAACAAATGTTACAGTTACATGTAGAGTCTAATACTTCCACTCAATCATAGGTACATCACTACCCCCAAAGTACAAAAAATATTCTGGATCGTCACTGTCTAATTTCAACCGTAGTTTTTTTCATTCACGCCCTTCACATATGAGTTGAGCAGCAAGTCCTACTCGTAGCATATGCGACTCCATGTGCAAGGCTTCAACGTTCATTATCTCCCTTCCCTCGAGGATCGCCTTGATGAAAAAATACGTATGTATGCCATAATCATATCTGTAGAAATATAACATAACACTTAATAGCAGGATATGTAACTGGTAACAAGAATATAACATAGAGAATGTAAAAATATCACATAACAGCCCCAAAAGTCAAACAGAATACTGAAATGTCACATATAGGCCCCAAGAGTCACACAGAATACTAAAATGTCACGTAACAGCCACAAAAGTCACACAAAATACCAAAATGTGACTAAATGCAGCATAAGTCACACAGCATACTAAAATATCACATATGTCATTGGCTATTTCAAGGATAATTGAATTTACGATAGCATTACGATGAGATTTTCATTTCTCAAATTTGAACAGGTCAAAAACACAGGTTTCTTTATGTATGAGTAACCAGATCAAAATAACATATGTCATATTCCAAGTGGACATATTATATGTTATATATATATATCTATCACCATTTCAACTTTGGTCAAGCTTATAGAGAAACATTAATGAACCTGACATTCTTTGAGATAATTGGTTTCAATTTTGGCTGCTGGATTCAAAAATTATATTACTACTTATTCAAGGTTAGACTTTAATGCAGCGAAATAAAGTTCAGATTTCTTATTAGGCAATTTAGCTTATCAAAACTAACAACAAACGTAAACCAACGAAAAAAGTTATAACAAATAAATACCTGTGGGGTTGATGATGATGACCCATTTGGCTGTGAAACAACCATATGAAGAAGCTCCAGAAACATGGATTTTCCTTGGTCTGTGAAATTCTTGATGTAGAGGAGGGGTCGGGGAGGAGGGGGAAGGGGGAGGAGGAGAGGATACGGATGAGGAGAGAGAAGGAGGGGAGGGGAGGGGCGGACGGAGCTGAGGAGGGGTTCAGGGAGGAGGGGAAGGGGGCGGACGGAGCCGAGGAGGGGGTCGAGGAGGAGGGGGAAGGGGGAGGAGGAGAGGATGCGACGGAGGAGGGAGGAGGAGGGGAAGAGGGGGGAAGGGGAGGAGCAGAGGATGCGATGGAGGAGGGGAGGGGAGGGGAGGAGGCGGACTGAGCCGAGGAGGGCGTCGTGGAGGAGGAGAGTGCGAATGAGGAGGGAGCAGGAGAGAAGGGGAGGAAATGGATTGAGTTTTAATTGGGAAGAAGGGTAATTTGGGAAATGGTTTTCTTGGGAAGTGGGTTTGGGGGTTGCTTGCATATATTTTTTAATTTTAGGGCTAATGGGTTATGGTTGTTGGGCTGGGGGTGGGGATGCTTGGCCCAACTTATTTTGCTTTCTTCAAGCAATTTTCCCTAAAATTTAATATCCATATTTGATTTAATTTTATATTTTCACAATTTTCATATTTATAATAATAATAATTAAAATATAAACATATATATATAATAATCTTAATTAGGTAATTACGTTATTTAGTATGAACTAATAATTAATAAAGTATATTTTATAACACACATTATAATTTCTAAGAATGTTTGTTTATTTATATTATTTGATTAGAACAATTTTTCTAAACAGACCCATTTCAATTTTTTTTTAAAACCGACTCTTTTTTTTTATTTACCAAACCCGACCCGATTTTGTGATTAGCAGACTAATCACCTTCCTAAATAGTCGGGGTTGGCAACCCTGACTATTTAGGATGGTGTTAAACCATAATTAGAAGCCTTAAACCCTAAAAATTAATGTCCTAAATAGTCGGGTTTGACAACCCCGACTATTTAGGAAGGTGATTAGTCTGCTAATCACAAAATCGGGTCGGTTTTGGTAAAAAAAAAAAGAGTCGGTTTTAAAAAAAATTTTAAAATGGGTCTGTTTAGAAAAATTGTTCTATTTGATTATCTATACAAACAATATATATTGATAGTTTCAAAAAGTCAAGAAATCTGTTCCTTTTTGGGAATACAAATACTAAAAAATATACTAAAATAGTCAGCTAACTACTACTATATCTTTGACTACCGAGCATAGACAAAACCCCCCCTCTTCTCCCTTAGGCCCCGTTTGCTTTGCAACTTTTGCAAGCTTTTGTCAGAACTTTTGCAGGGATTCTTGCAAAATCACCCCAAATTGGGGCGATTTTGCAAGAATCCCTACAAAAGTTCTGACAAATTAGAACTTTTGCAGGCTGTTGCAGGCTTTCAACTTGCAAAAACAACAAAACAAACGGGGCCTTACTCCTCACTCAGCTAAGGATTTTCCCTTTCCAACGAAATTTTTTCCTCTCAGCGTAGTAACTTTTTTGCTTTAGTTTTGCAGGATATTATGGTATATTCTTTGACTGCCTATAAAAATAAAATCACTCCTTAATTCCCATTAACTCTAATACATTTATACAATCAATCTTGATAAGCAAATGACTGCTAATATAGTATTCAGCTCTGCTTAAATGCTCATTGCTAATTCAAGAAGCTCGATGTCAATACCGTTCATACATTTCTTCAAGCATTTTGATGATAGTATCAAGTTGCAATGTCATCATCATGGTACATATAATACATGGCCGCCTTTCTTGACACCTCATCCAAATCTGAAAAAATTTCTCCTTACTTCTCATATTAGCTGTTTTTTTAAAATTTTTTGTAAGCGTACACACTTGCATTACCAACAAACATTTCAGAAGTACACTGAGTTTAAATACTTTCAGATATTAAATATAATAAGTTTTAATCAAATATGAATCAACAATAATTTTAAAACAATAAAAAGAAAATTCATGTAACTTCATACAATGTAGCCCTTAATTTTGAATAAAATCACAATATACAAAACAATAAAGTAACATGGGGCATTGCTCAGTAGTTGGCCTCGTAATATCCTGGACAAAAAAGAATTGTTGAATGAATAAATTTTGGCATACAACATGGACAATTTGTCTAAACTTGAATAAAAGGTATAGAAAGCAAAAGTGTGCAAGTAGAGTTATTTATACACATATGACAATATTCAGCTGTAATTCCTATCAGGGGTATAAATAATGGATTCCAATTATTTTATACTTTCTTTCAAATTCATTATAATTCAAATCAGGACATAAATAGTTACACCACCAGACCCAACTCCAACCCCTCCGCTCAACCCAAATGCAAACCACAACCATAACCATAACAATAATGCAAAATTTAATATAAATTAATTATTATATAGTACAATGGATAATAAAAAATTGAAACGCAAAACTCAATAAAAGTTGATTATTATATAGTACAACGAGTAATAAAAAATATGTATATTTGAACAAATACATTATTATAATAATTCTAATCAGGGGTATAAGTAATAGATTCTACTTATCTTATGTTTTCTTTTAAATTCATTATAATCAGTTAAATACACCCCCAGACCCAGACACAAACCCAACTCATACCTAACACCAACCAATCCAAATCCGAACCACAATCGTAACCATAACAATAACACAAAGTTTAATAAATTTTTTTGATAATTTAAGAATATTACTTTCTAATCGCTCATGAATTAGAAATATACAAATAAGAACATTAGTATATAGTATATTATAGTACATATAAATTAATATGGATACCTTATGGAGAATTTGAGAAAGAATGAAGCTCTCAGATATCACTTTCATATTCTCAACCTCACGCGGCTGCCTAATACAAATCTCAAGTTATACGTACCATGCTAAATTAGGAGCAATTATCGATTAAGAAATTAAAAAAAGATAAGAAATAAATTTTAAGATCCTTCGTAAAATAGAATTAATGCCAAAACGTCTTTACCCTGATAAATTTCGTATTTAGATCCTTGGTCCCAAACATTTAAAATCCATTTTAACTTTGATAACCTGAAGCTTATTCACTAAAGCTTTACCTCATATCCCTTGTAAAGTCATATTAAGGTATCAAAGTAAAATATTTTGAACTTTGGGTATTTTTTAGAGAAAAAAGGTCTGTTAAAGTTAATAATGATGTCAACTTTAGGATATTTAAGTGAAAATAAAATAAAAATATAATGTAATTATTATTAAACATCACCTTGAGACATAACAATGCAATTAAATATGATGTAATTTAGCTCAAGAAAATAAAATAAGCCAAAACGTTACAAATATCATAGAAGTTCACTTCAAACATTGTACCGTGGAGGCCATCATAAGAATTAACCCAGAGACAATTTCAAACAGTTACTACTATTAAAGCAGGGCGCATATGCAATGAACATTTGACATTTATTATTTCCACCCACATGTATGTAATATTTATTTGATTTATTATACTTAAGTAACTGTCCATATAAATTTAATTAGGTAGCTATACATTATTTGTGATGAAATGAGAAGAAAAACTTCATTATGGAAATTATACCTATATACCAAGTCAGAGGCCGAAATATCTTAAAAGAAAGATAATCTTACTTCTCAGAAACGAATTTTTACCTGAATCCTCTAAAGATATTTCCATTGATCCTCGAAACTTCTACTTCCTCTTTTTTGCAAACCAAATTAACATTATGAATGGGAGTAATATGCAAACTTTCATAAATAAACGTAAAAAATTAATTAATACGCACTATTTTTGTTTGAAGGACTTCACTAAAACCCCTGTCATCTCTCTCCGGCAATCATCAAAGGAAAATAGCCAATTAATGGAAAATAGCCAATTAATCTCAAAGCAAATAACACAAACTCACTATAACTTAGAATAAAACTAACATAGATCACCGAAACAACAAAAAAAAAACAAATTCAAACAAAAGTGAATAATCACTAATACAAATAGGTCCATCCCCAATGGGTGGTAGGAACCGTTGGGAGTAGTTTTCTGAGCACCAACGGTTTCACCTGTTGGCACAATTCGGTTTTTTCCTAAAAAAACGGAGGGAGCCCGCCCCACACCCCAAAATTTTGTTTTCCCCCAAATTAACAAAATTCAATCTCTCTCCCTCTCTGCCTCCCTCCCTCCCTCCCTTCCTCTTGCCAAAACTAGCACCGCCCTCCTCCTCTCGTCGCCGTCATCGTCGGAGCTCTCTCGCCGCTTATTCTCTCCCCTAAAAGCCCTAGTTCATCATCGTCGGAGCTCTCTTCCCTGATTCGAGCTCCTCTGATTTGAGCTCCTCTCGTCGTCGTTATCATCATCGTTGTCGTCGTCATCGTCGTCATCGTCATCATTGTCGTCGTCATCGTTGTCGCCGACCTCTCGATTGGACCTTGTTGCCGCCGCTGGATGTTCTGTCGCTACCTCCTCTTCGGTGAAAACCCTAACCCTAATCCCCCCTTTCCTTTAAAAACATACTCACCACTTTGGCCTTCTCCTCCTCCTGCTGCAGCTGTTTTCCGGCCGGCTTTGCTCGCCACTCCTAAAGAATAGTATGATTGTTTGACAAGTCTGTTTTCATGTTGTTTGCTCGCAATATGTCTCTGATTTGGTAAGTTCTCAAAGTAATTTGTTGAATGACGTTGAACAGAACTGTCGATTTGTTTAGTATCTAGTCAGATGGTACAAATGAAGACTTTAAGTGTGTTTCCTTAATTAAGAAGCAATTCTCATTTGTGTACTGATTGGTAGTTAGATTCTGCAATTAGATGCATGCTGGCATTATGATGAAAATACATAGTATATTTCTTAATTTAGTTCCTTCGCTTCTTTATGGATACTTCTGTGCTAATCGCTTGGCAAAGATCCTAGGGTAAGCTTCGATTCGCACTCCTCAATTTCTGGATTTTTTTTCTTTTCGTGTGTAAATTTCTATTTTCATTTTCTTTACTTGCAGTTAGACTCAATTTGGTGACTCTTCAAAGGAAGCTTCATGCTGATTGATGCTTTCATATCTTAGGACTTATCTTACCCCAGGGCTTTGTACATCTGTAATTTGTGCATTTCACACATCTATATGTCATTTTTCCCTTTCCAATTGATATATCTACTTCATGTGTGTGTGTTTGTAAATATTCCAACTACATACATTATAATATGTCTGTTAAATATTCTCTGCAGTTTACTATGCATAAAGACAGCTGATAGAACTGGATTATTGTCGAAAGTCATCAAGATTTCGCCTAATGTCAATTGGAATGCTGATGTGGATAGCTCTCACAAGGGCATAACCAGTAGCAAATCTCTTTGTTGCAGTGTTGAGAAAATTGTTCAAAGGTTCAATATTTCACCGGTTACTCTACTTTTTTTTTGTCTTTTTATTTGAATTAAGATAATTAGTGTCATTTTACATGGTGAGTTTTGGTTTCTATAGAGAAGATAGGTCACAGGTTGAGGCGAGCGCAAGGAGCTTGAGGAGATAAGGTCATACCGTATCTTTTATGCCTGTGCGTGCGCGTGTTGCTTTTCTCTGATGATTATGCCTTTATATTAAAAAGCAAGGCCTCTTGTAATTTTCTTGTAGGCCATGTTGCTTTTCTCTGATGATTATGCCTTTATATTAAAAAGCAAGGCCTCTTGTAATTTTCTTGTAGGCCATTAAGAATGCCCGAGAAAGGGAGATTAAAAAGCAAGGCCTCTTGTAATTTTCTTGTAGGCCATTAAGAATGCCCGAGAAAGGGAGAGAAGGATACTTCTTCGAGCAGTAAGATTATGTCTTGGCACTTCATAATTATGCTTTTGATTTTACAATTATTTATACTAGTTTATATAGGATATTTTTAGGAGACTTATTTTGCACGAAGTTAGGTTTAACTAAAACTCTGATTAAGGCATCTGCAAAAAAGCTTGTTTATTTGTTATTGATGAAGCTTCATGTTAACCTGGTAGTGCTTTGCAATGGCTAGAAAAGTAAAATCTTTAGAATGAATAATACACTTTTCCTTCAAACTACTCAATATGTGAATGTTACATCATTCCAGCCCATGAAGCTGTCTGGAATAATCAAAATTAATGCAAAACTTTCTGAACTTGTTTGCTACACTCGCAATATCGCAAAACTTTCTGAACTAGTTTCAATGTTCAACAAGAGCAAAAATCAATAGATGAATGGTTGTTTTGGAGAAATAGTGACTCACAGTCATTTCAATGTTCAACAAGAGCAAAAATCAATAGATGAATGGTTGTTTTGGAGAAATAGTGACTCACAGTCATATCACATGCTTATTACAATAGATGAATGGTTGTTTTGGAGAAATAGTGACTCACAGTCATATCACATGCTTATTACTGGAATGACGTGGGCCCATTTTTATTTTCTTGGACTGTTTTGTTATTTATCATAACTCCGTGAAAGTGAAGGTACTGGACATGTAAAGAAAGGACATGGTGATCAATTGATCATTAGCTATTATAAGGTACGTATTGAAGTATTAACGAAGATTGATTATACTTGCATGTCATATATGCAAAACCAGACTCCGTTCTGCCAGCCCTCTTATAATGATGGAGGCGTGCTTTGGAGGAAGATAGCAGTTCATAAGGTTGGAACTGTATGAAAGGACATCTGTATTTGCTTATCTAAGACATGGACTTTTGTGATCCTTAAGACTGGGTTCCTCCTGTTAGAGACCTAAGTATTACCAATGTGGCAATGAAAGCATGAGAACACTTTCCTAATTAGGCAGCCACAAACCCACCACGCATAATCTACAATAAACCATCTAAACAAGAGACACGACATGTAGATCAATGTAACTATTTCTAGACTCATCGGTTGGAAATTAGTATGGATTGGTTTCTAATGACATCTATCCAATTATACTATATGGCCCACTTCGACAAATCTTGATGTTTCCTAGGAACAATTTTTGTAGCATCAGAATTAGCATCCTCATAATGTCCTAAAGTGATCATATGTCTACAATTTAGCCATATGACTTTTATGCACTTTGTTTCTGAATAACTGGAACATAAACATTTTTCTATTTTAATATTAGATATCATACCTGGCATCCAAATCTTGTATGAATAGAAGATCAGTGAATTTGGGTGGGGACTGTGAACTCTCTTTAATAGCTAAAGAAAGTTATTGTGTATGAAACCTTTCATACTTAGAAACATTTCCTCTAGGAGACATGTGATTGTTTTGAAACAAAAAAGTTCACTAGGAATACTTATAAACAAAAGAAGGAATTAAGTTTACAAGGGAAAAAATAAACAAGATAGAAACATCCAACCTGTTGAGAGTCCAGAAAACTCAAAAAAACAAAATGACATAGGAAGTGGGAGAGAGATCGTGATGTTAGAATATAGAACTTGTGGCGGTTATGCAACTGGAGAAGAATTTATTTTGGTTTCTGTATATATGGTTGTTAATCTATAGCATTACTTGGAATTCATGTGAATATGACCATTTTTATATGAGCTTCAACAGTATGAAGTTTGTCCTACCAATGAATGCACAATATTTACTATGACTATCTGCTTTTACTTTTGAAATCTCTCTCTTTGTGTTTGGGCGCCCGAGCATGCGTGTGGATATAGAATTGATTACATGTATTATTTTACAGATTGATTCTCAGACCACTCGTCCACCACCTGTTGTTCTTGCTACTACTCCACCGACTTTTGCTCATCCTTCTCCGGAAGTTCAGGGTTCTACATCTGCTGCTCAATGTTCTCCTTAGGATATTTCAATATGAAACCCTCTTGTTAGTCGATTGGGAGGCGTGTTAGGGGGGGGTCTTAGGGGGGCTTTACTCAGGAGGGCTATAATGAGGAGGACATTCGCAAAGCTTTTGCTGATTATTTTCAATTAAGTCAGTCGTGACTTGTACTTTTAATTAACTTACTTAAGACATTTGTATATTTGAGATATCCTCTTTATGTTTGGGACTTGAGTAATTTATAAGTTGTTGTATTCTGATTCTAGTCAATCTTTTGTTTTGGTTTTGTGCGTGGAATATATATGTTAACAAGTATATTATATACATGTTAATAGGTATATACCGTATTTCAGATATCCTCTTTATGGTTGTGAACATGTATAATATATACTTATTCGTGGGAAATGAATTCTATGTAAACATGGCAGGCAAGAGGTATTAGTGAAACTGAAAAAAATAAAAAATACTAGCACCAACAGTTACAACCGTTGGTGCAAGTAACAGCACCAACGGTTAATCGTTAGTGCTGCTAATTGCACCAACGGTTGTAACCGTTGGTGCTGATACTTGCACTAACGATTGTAACCGTTTGTGCAGATTTTCACCCGTTAGGGCCGTTTCAACCCCAACGTTGTTTGCAGCAATGGGTCTTTTTTCTGCACCAACGGTCGTAACCGTTGGGGACACTACCTGCCCCAATGGTTACAACCGTTGGGGCTGGGCTTCTTTGTACTAGTGAATATTAACATAGGCAGATGAAAAGTGATAAATTTCGGGGTTTTAGATGCTACCATTTGGGTGAGGATGTATCCAACGACGTGGATGATGATGTATCCACCTAAAGCTACCATTAAAGTTGCATGATTGTCCAATTTTAAATGCAATGTACTGGCATCAAGAGATTATTATAATTAACCAAGTCACAAATTCTACATACAAACAAAGCTAAAAAGTGAAAAACTTGACAAAATTGTTACTTTATGGTCAAAGCATAAAACTTGAAACAGAAAAAAGAGAGATAGGTAGGACTTACAAAGAAACTTGAAATGCCTTATTGTATAAAACACTAATATTTAGGTTGTATTTTGATCTTAGTTTCTTCAACTTCTATCAAATAATGCTCAAAACAGCAAAAACTCTAAAATTAAACTGCAATTTCCCAATAATATATTTTGATAACTTGAAATGAAGACAGACACAAAATGTTTATGAAAAAAAGAGGCACCATAATTCAAAGAAGAAAAATATATTTATATATATACTAAGGTTATTGGATCTATAGCTGTAGAAAGTCTTTTCATACCTACATTTGATAGTTTAACATATATAAAATAATACAGTAAATGTAACACAAATGCTAATTAGCTCATTTGGTTCAACCCTTGTGTATAGAATCTTAGGTAGTAGGTTTGGTTCCCTCAACCTTTCCCATTAACTTTTTTACCTTTACTTCAAATATTCTTTTTCAATATGAGTCATTTAAATCTTTAATATTTTGAAATTAATCCCTAAAATTATCAACATCGTTATTAAGACCTACTTTTGAAATTAATCCCTAAAATTATCAACATCGTTATTAAGTCCTACACTTCTTAAGTTAATTACAATTAATACCTCAAAATAATTAAAATTATTATTAGGTTCCTTAATTCTTAAAAAGTTATTTTGAAATTATTCCCTTGAATAAAAAGTAGAAGCAATAACTAGAGAGATTAATTTAAAAAGATTGTGAGAATTAGAGAACTTAATAGAATTTCTATTAATTTTATTAGTCCTTTAAATCTTTCATGTTTTGAAATTAATCCGTCAAATCATGAAAATTGTTATTAAGTTCTACAATTTTTAAGTTAATTATAAATTTATCCCTCAAAAGACCAAAAATTGATATTAGGTTCCTTAATTCTTAAAAAGTTACTTTGAAATTATTCCCTTCAATAAAAAGTAGAAGCAATAACTAGAGAGATTAATTTAAAAATAATTGCAAGGATTAGAGGACCTAATAACATTTTTATTAAATTGATAGACTAATTTCAAAATAATTTTGGATTGCGGGAGCACAATAGCATTTCAATGATTTTGTAGCCTATCTACTTTAAAAAAAATTCAACTTTTTATTTTAACTAATAGACTCAAAATTCACCCCATTTATTTTGAAAACCATGTACTTCAACATTTTTTTCCAATGTTAGTGTCTTACAACGCTTATATTTTGAAGCTTATCCTTC